GCAGGGGAGGGCAGTTGGGGGTGACCAGGCCTGCAGGGGAGGGCAGTTGGGGGTGACCAGGCCTGCAGGGGAGGGCAGTTGGGGGTGACCAGGCCTGCAGGGGAGGGCAGTTGGGGGTGACCAGGCCTGCAGGGGAGGGCAGTTGGGGGTGACCAGGCCTGTAGGGGAGGGCAGTTAGGGGTGACCGGTTTGACATGGGAGGGCAGTTGGGGGCGACCAGGCCTGCAGGAGAGGGCAGTTGGGGGCAACCAGGCCTGCAGGGGAGTGCAGTTGGGGGCAATTGGGCTGGCAGGGGAGCAGTCAGGCGTCGATCAGGCTGGCAGGGGAGTGGTTAGGGGGTGATCAGGCTGGCAGGCTGAAGCGGTTAGGGGCAATTAGGCAGGCATGCAGGTGAGCAGTTGGGAGCCAGCAGTCCCGGATTGTGAGAGGGATGTCCGACTGCCCGTTTAGGCCCGATCCCTGGGGAATCGGGCCTAAACCGGCAGTTGGATATCCCCCGAGGGGTCCCAGATTGGAGAGGGTGCAGGCTGGGCTGAGGGACACCCCCCCCCAGTGCACGAATTTCGTACACCGGGCCTCTCGTATATATATAAAATGCTAAATCTAAAAATGTTATATATCTAATGTTCATCATGGAATTACTTAGAATTGGTGGAAATTGGAAACATTCTACATGCTTAGCAATAGAAAAATGGAGTCTTAAAATCAGTTATTTGAGGCAGTACATTACTTACATTGCTCTTCATAAGGATGGGTAGGTTGATTGGTTGGTTGCTTGCTTGGACAGAAGTGTGAGAGGGGGGAGGGAGGGAGGCAGGCAGGCAAGGAAGTTATCCTTCTTAAAAAAGGTTTGCAGGCATTGAAAATTATAACTGTAGCCACATGAAAAATCATTATAGTATAATTTAATGTTAAGTGAAAAACAGGATAGAAATTACTTTGAGAATTGGCTATGGCACTTAAATCTGGAGCATCATATGAAAACACTGTGCATATAAAAAATGATTGGAAGGAAATATACATGATTTTTTTCCTGTAATGTGGCACATTTTTAAAAAATCAGAAGGATGAAAGTTTATTAAAAATTACACGAGCTGTTAGATTTTAAAATGAATGTGTTTTAACCTAGTAGTAACAGAAATGCACTATGGGTCTGTGATACTTTGTTATAAAGTTCTAAGGTAAACCTATCCATCCATTGCATCTATAATATGCTTCAGAGACACTCTTATTCACTTCTTGGGAGCTGTCCTAAGTTTAGATTTAGGACATAACCATTCATCTATTGTTGAATTCCTCATTCTAATTTAGTAACAGATAAATCTTGATAATAATATTTTTTTTCTGTTAAAATTACTTTACTGTATCTGTGTAGATTCAGAGTATTTATGTTTGTGGGTAAAGAGTTAACAGAACCCTTTTTTCTTCTGCATGAAAATTTGATCTCTGCTTAACTATCTAGCTCTGGTACCCTGAAAACCTGATAAAGATTTGGAATGTCAAGTATGTTACTAGACAACATTGCTTATAATAAAAAATATTCTGGATGGTCCTGGCCCTGTAGCTCAGTTGATTAGAGTGTTGTCCTGATACTCCAAGGTTGTGGGTTCGATCCCCTATCAGGGCACATATAAGAATCAACCAATGAATGAATGAATGAATGGAACAATAAATCGATGTTTCTTTCTCTCCCTCCCTCTCTCCCTTTTCCTCAAATCAGTAATTACAATTTTTTTAAAAATTTCTGGATCTGGATTGGGAAAACTACCAATACTTTATGGAACACTTAACTTTGGGCATCCCTGAGTTCATTGACTTCTATAACAGGCATGACCCTGGGGGTATGAAGTTTTTCTTCTATATCTGTCCCATATGTATCTCATCTTCTTACACATGAATTGGACTGCTTCAGGGACTCAGACGAAGAGAATTGCCCAATCCTGCTGTTGTGGCAAACTAGTCCCCACCCTACGTCCTTCTGAGTAGCTCGGTGTCATTGGAACTTAAAATGACCTTGCATGTCTGAATGTTTTGTTGATCCTAAGAAAATCCCTAGCGGGTAATCCTATATAATAAAGAGGGAATATGCAAATTGACCATCACTCTGCCACAAAATGGCTGCACCCACAGCGAAGGCTGAGTTCCTGTAACGAGCCTTAACAAACAATCAGCAGGGACCTGAGGCTGCGCCCCACCCGACCCCCCGCCCAGCAGGGCTTGACAGGGGACCTCAAAGTGTACCCCCCACCCAGTAAGACTTGATGGGGGACCTCAGGCCACGCCCCCTGCCCTGGCACTGGGCCAGGGCACCTGAGGCTGTGCCCCCCACCCAGTAGGGCTTGATGGAGGAACCTTAGGACACGCTCCCCGCCCCAGCACCAGACCAGGGGACCTGAGGCTGTGCCTTCCGCCCGGCAGGGCTTGACAGGGGACCTCAAAGTGTACCCCCCACCCAGTAAGACTTGACAGGGAACCTCAGGACGCACCCCCCCTACCCAGCGGCGGGGCTTGACAGGGGACCTCAAGGCGCAACCCCCACCCCGGCCCGGGCTGGGTGACCTCAGGCCGTGCTCCCCTGCCCAGTGGGGCTTGACGGGGGACCTCAGGCTATGCCCCCCACCCAGCGCCAGGCCAGGGGAGGCTGCGACCCCACCTGGAGGGGCTTGACAAGGGTGGGGCCGGCCGTGTCTGGATCTAACCCAATGGGGGTGGGGCCGGCCAGGTCTGAGTCTTGTGCAATTTTGAGGTGCATGTGGGTGGGCGGGGACTTGACTCTGGGTCCCGTGATGCACCCCCGATTCTGACAGAAGGAAGATTTTCATATACATTTTTCTAATTTTCTTTCTTCTCTGACACTTCTATTATAGAGAAAGGGCAAATAGTAATATTAAAATATTTCCTCTAATTAATCCCCTTTTAATGTGCATGAATTTCGTGCACTGGGCCACTAGTGTAGTGGTATAATTCTACAGTTAGTTTTTTAAAAAAATACATTTTTTATTGATTTCAGAGAAGGAGAGGGAGAGAGAGAAAACATCAGTGATGAGAGAGAATCATTGAGAGGCTGCCTCCTGCATGCCCCACACTGGGGACCGAGCCTACAACCCAGACGGATGACCTGACCGGCGTGGCTAGGCTCTACAGTTTTTAACTTTCTTTTCAAAGTAAGAAAAATAGTATTTTAACTTTATATTAGTTAATTCATTCAGTTTTATCATTGCCTTGGGAAGAATATTAGACAGGACAGACACATAGCTTTTAGTCCTAGTTTTTCAATAATGGATTATGTTACCTTGGACAAGTCACTTAGTCTCTCCGAAACACAGTTTTTCTTAAAGTGTTAGATAATGTGACCAATATCATATCTGATTTCCCTTCCAACTCTAAATCCTATAGTTCTCTGATGTCCTTATTATAAGTTAATTTTTAATCCTCTTATTTTTGTCGGAGCCTTCTAGATTTCTTTGATCCTGGCAGATGATCAGAACGAATATGAACTGCCTATGCATTAGAATTTAAAGAATTTAGATCAGTGGTTCTCAACCTTTTGGCCCTTTAAATACAGTTCCTCATGTTGTGACCCAACCATAAAATTATTTTCGTTGCTACTTCATAACTGTAATGTTGCTACTGTTATGAATCATAATGTAAATATCTGATATGCAGGATGGTCTTAGGCGACCCCTGTGAAAGGGTCGTTCGACCACCAAAGGGGTCGCGACCCACAGGTTGAGAACCTCTGATTTAGATGAAAAATACTGGAGGAACTTTGGGAAGAGAAAACCAATTAGAATGAAAGCTTGAAGAGCTTTTAATTACTTTAAAATTTCATCTCAACTCCTTTTTATAGGTTGTGAACTGGCTTGAAGGACCTGGATCAGAACAACTTAGAGCCCAGTGGGGGATTGGAGATTCCATTCGGGCTTCGCAGGCCCTACAACAGAAGCACGAAGAGATCGAGAGCCAGCACAGTGTGAGAGACTTTTCTTCCTCTGCACGTTACAATGCTATTCTTAATGTGCTAATTAGTAGCGTGTGTGATGCTAAGTGATAAGTTGCTATAAACTTTGGTATAGGACAGGGGTGGGCAAACTTTTTGACTCGAGGGCCACAATGGGTTCTTAAACTGGACCGGAGGGCCGGAACAAAAGCATGGATGGAGTGTTTGTGTGAACTAATATAAATTCAAAGTAAACATCATTACATAAAAGGGTACGGTCTTTTTTTTTTTTAGTTTTATTCATTTCAAACGGGCCGGATCCGGCCCGCGGGCCGTAGTTTGCCCACGGCTGGTATAGGAGCATAAACATACAGTATGTTTACTGTTTAGAGACCATAAAGGACATTTTGACCACTTGGTACATATTCATTTGAAGTTTGGCTGTGGTTTTTATCTCCAGTACAGTTTAATAACATATTTTTATAGAGACACAATTCATGTGACAGAAACCACAGTGACAGAAGAAAGAATGATAGTACAAAAACAGGACTTTCATCTATAGTTCCTGAGATAGAAACTGTGATTCTTAAGGTCATGAGTTGATAATTATTGAAGCTGCATGGTGCATGGGGTTTCATTGTAGAGTTTACTCTTGAACAGTGAGGGGCTTAGGGGCATGGACCCCCCCCCCCTCCTTCTTCCCCTCCTTTACTGTTGAAAATCTGCATGTAACTTTAACCCCACCAAAATTTACTAATAGTCTACTGTTGGCTGGAAGCCTTACCAATAACATAAATAGTTGATTAACACATATTTTATGTATGTTTTATATATTGTATTACAATAAAGTAAGCTAGAGCCGTGGTGAGCAAACCTCAGCTCGCGAGCCACCTGCGACTCTTTGGCCTCTTGAGTGTGGAAGTTTCAATCGCACTGTACGTGTGCGCCCGCACGTAGTATTTTGTGGAAGAGCCACACTCAAGGGGCCGCAGTTTGCCGACCGCTGAGCTAGAGAAAAGAAAATGTTTATTAAGAAAATCATAAGAGAAAATACACTTAGAGTATTTATTGAAAAAAAAAATCCATGTATAAGTGGACCCATGCAATTCAAATCCTGTGTTGTTGAAGGGCCAACTACTTTCTACTTTTGAATAGATTTGAAATTTTTCATTCTAAAAGGTTTGCAAAAGAGAATTGCACCATTTTAACCAATAGATGGCACTGCATTTCATTTTGAGAATAGGTTGATGCCGGATGAACATATTATTATGATGTTTAAGATAGTCTAACATTTTATTAAAAGCTTTCTTGTCTCTTTGTAAATAAAAGTGAACACTTTAAAACATGTGTTGGAATTGTTCAGGTCTCATGAAAGTCAAATTTCTAGTATATTGATTGGTTAATAGGAGTAGAATTTGGAGAAACTTTTAACATACCATTTTTGTATTAAAACACTTTGTCAAGTATTAAGTTTTAGATTCTTCCTAAAAGCATAATTCACAAATAAAGCTAAACATAAATTTATTAGCTGAGAATTGATTTATATTTTTTTAAAAGATCACTGGCTATTGTATGGAGAACAGGGAGTAGAGACAAAAAAATGAAATAGGAAGGCAGGAGGCTAACAGAATGGAGGCAGTATAAGTAATGAGAAATTGTCAGATTCATGGGTTAAGCCAGCAAGACTTGCTGTTGGAAGAAGAATTATATGTTTGGCTTTAGCACTATTAAGTGGGGAAGACTGGGAGAGAAGCAGGTTGGGAGGCTGGAAATCAGTATCTTTGGGGACAAGTTAAATTTTGGATATCTAAAAGTCACCTGAATGAAGATCGTTAGTAGACGGTTGCCTATCAATGTGTATAATTCAGGAGTGGGGTCAGGCATTGGGAGTTGTAAGCCTACTGGTGTTATTTAAAGGCATGGGACTATATGAAATCATCCAAACCCAATGAATATTGATTTAGAAGCAAAAAGAGAAGAGGGAGAAGAAATGGTCTGGAAATAGTAATGGGGCCTGAGGCAGCCATCTCTCTACTCCACCTCTAGGATTGTGGGATGTCAGCTGTGAAAACAAAAACAGCAGTTACTTAGGAGGGCTACAGGGCTAACTGCCTTTTCTGAGGGTGGACAGGTGTCATGTAAAGCAAGAGAGAGAAGGAAACAGAGGCCAGGGTGAGGCTAGAGGAGATTTTGTTCTTGGCTGGAGTGTGTTCTAGGGGTTGCCGTGAAGGATTTGGGGATTGGGGACTTTTCTTAATTTAAATGATTTTGCCTAAGAAAATTCTTTTGTTTATTAGTGTATATGGAGAAATTATTGAATGTCATGTAGGTTTCCATAAACTAATTTTATCCTTAATTTACTTTACAATGTCTCTATTATAGGAATGGTTCGCAGTGTATGTGGAGCTTAATCAGCAAATTGCAGCACTCTTAAATGCTGGGGATGAGGAAGATCTTGTGGAGCTGAAGTCCCTGCAGCAACAACTTAGTGATGTTTGCTATCGACAGGCCAGTCAGCTGGAATTTAGGCAAAATCTCTTACAAGCAGCCCTTGAATTTCATGGTGTTGCCCAAGATGTAAGTATCTACTCTTAGTGCTTTTCTTCTCTTCAAATGATCTGAATACTTATCTGCACATAATTTTTGCAGGTTTGCATGTCTCCTAATTATTTTCCTGGAACAGTAAAATAATGTACTGGTGGGGGAAATGAGATAAAATCTTTGATTTTTTTTTAAGTCAATCTGCATGCACCTAAACTTTTTTTGTCTACATAGAGTGTCCCAACTAGTAGATATATTTTGTTTTTATTGTTTCTCAATGTTTATGCTTTATAACATAGAATGAAATGGAAGTTTCATTACTTTTGTACATTCTGCTGACCTGGATATATTTCTTTGTCTTCCTGGTGCATGCATCTGTGTGTTCTGTCTTCCAGATAACATGTATTCTAATTATGCGTTCTTGTCTTTTAACAGCATAGTCTTTTTTCAAGTATAATTGTGATAACCTCATTAGATATAAACCTCATTAACCATTAAACACTTTAGATGCTGATTACATCAGGGTTATCTCTTTGGTGTCCCTCTGCTTTAGTTGTCTCAGCAGTTGGATGGCTTATTAGGGATGTTGTGCGTAGATGTAGCACCAGCTGATGGAGCATCGATTCAGCAAACTTTAAAACTGCTTGAAGAGAAGCTGAAAAGTGTTGGTAAGCAGATTTTAAAAATGCTGAAACATAAGGGTTCTTTTAAAAAATATTACCATGGTTACACAAGTCAGCATATACTGAATTAATAATTATTTACAGGAAAAATGACTATAAAAAAGGTTTTATGTTCTCTTGAAGGATGTAATTTATGCTAAAATTTTTATTTTTTTCATTGTTGGTCAATCACTTCCTTCATTGGACCGTTAGCCTTTCTTATTTACCCAGCTATATCTACAGGTGCTATGTCTTGCATATCCTATGAACAGTTATTTGTAGTGCATGCATAAACTGTAATTAGCTGTGAAGTGTTCTGTGGTAAACCCTGTATGCCCCAAACTGTTGTTTTATGCAATGATTTTTGTTGTTGCTATATCCTAACCTGTAAAAACATACTTGGTTTGGTTCTGTGAATTTGTTTCTCCAAACTGGAAATATTGCCAAGATTACATACTCTCTAAGCCTTAGTGAGATCCAGTCTCATTAAGCTAGTTCTCTCACTTGTCATCAAGGCCTTTAAAAATCTAGTAGAGATAAATACAGTGACTTTCCCTAGGTCATGACTGGAAAGGTAGACAGTAGATGCAAAAATGGAAAGTGGGGATGGGTTGAGGAGGACAGGGGGACAAAGGTGAGATAGGAGAAGCAGCAGAAACCGAGGGCAGAGATTTAATAGAAAATGGTAACATGTGATTGGACCAAATTAATTACTTTTTGAAAAGGATTTGAAGGAATGGATTTGAAAAATCATGTTTATATTGGCATTTTACTTGTTTGAGCCTTTGTTATTTTAGCAAATGACATGCATAATACACATGTAGTATTTAATATGCCAAATGAAATTTATTTGAAAATGTCAGAAAATTTCTTGAGCCACACTTTTTTTTTAAAAAAAAGAAAAGAAATTCCTGTATACGTTGGAGTATTGCAAACACCCTAAGTGTTGCTTCTTGTTGGGTATAAACTAGGTAGTACCTGTACTCAGAATGTTTAGCATCCTTTAACATTGCTTCAGTGATTTGAAGTCTTGCAACTGATACCTGTTTTTGAACAAAACATTTGCCTTGTTCTAAAAAAAATTGGACTATGTAAAAGCAGAAAGGAAAAAATTAAAAACCCTTACTGATTAAAACAGTAATTCTCACATTTACTGCTTTCTGTTTTAAAAATTAATTATTATCTATGGAAATTAGCCCTTTGGAAATTCTCTTTAAGGACAATTTGGCATTAGGAGGGTGGAGGGAGAATTTCAGTCTGAGTCACATTTAAAGGGGTTTTATTACTCGAAATGTTCAGAGGACTCCACCCAAGGATAGTTTAATATACAAACTGTTATACTTGGAATTCATGTGCAGTATCTGCTGCAAGGGTTTACTTGAGGGAGGGAAAGCACTTCCTTTGTTTAAGACATTAAATCTAGCAACTTTTGTTTTAGATGTAGGATTGCAAGGTTTGCGTGAAAAAGGTCAAGGTCTTCTGGATCAGATCTCCAATCAGGCATCCTGGGCATATGGAAAGGATGTAACCATTGAAAATAAAGAAAATGTGGACCACATACAAGGAGTGATGGAAGATATGCAGCTTAGGAAACAAAGGCAAAGTTTGACTACTTACGTTAATTTTTGCTAAGACAACATTATTAATTAAAATGACAAATAATATAATTTATATTTTTTATTCAAACTAAAAGTTTTTACCTGTTTATATAATAGGCATGTAGTAAGTTTTTTTGTGACTGTAATAATTACTGTATGTAATTATACTAACACATAATGGCAATTTGTTCAATTAACGAATGGGTACCTTTTCCTTTTACTCAGTAGTAAAAATTTCGATTACACTGAAATACTTTTTATTCCTATTTCCAGTGTAGCTTCTGACTCTTTTGTCTTTAAAGAAAACCCTTTTTGGAGAATTTTGCTTTTCAATTTTCATTTGGTTTAGTTGATGTTAAATGTCATCTAAACTGATCTGTTTCTTCATCTCAACTTCTTACTAACAAATTATCATACGTCCATTGTTCTCATATTTGCTGTAAAAGGATTAGACTATAGATTAATGTTTGTTAAAGTAAGATGATGGGTGAGGGTAAGATGATGTTTAGTTTCATTTGATACAGAATTAGGAATTTAAAGACTTCTTTAAAACTCAATTTGCAGTAGCAACTGCAAGTTATAGTTGTCCCTGTGCATCCAGGGGCATTGGTTCCAGGACCCCCACAGATAGGAAAATTCACAGATGCTCAGATCCTTTATATAAAGTGGTGTTGTATTTGCATATAACCTAAGCACATCCTCCTGTATACTTTAAAGCATCTCTATATTATAATACCTAATACAATGTAAATGGTAGATAAATAGTTGTTATACTCTATTACTTAGGGAATAATAACCAGAAAAAAAAGTCTGTACATGTTCAGTACGGATGCAACTTTCGTAGATCTTACTCCATAGCACAAATCAGCAGCAATGTAAGATATTTTTTTGTGAATATTTTCATGTTAAACTCTGCATCTTATACTAGGTCTCTATTTTTTCTGAACCTGTCAAACAATGACAAATGCTTTTCCATTTACAGAGCACTTCATGAAAACCAATGAGTGAGGGCACTAAAATAGGTTCTTCATCCCTAATATATCACCATAATTTTCACTACATAGTCATGTAAGCAACTACATAACTTTTTCTGAATATTTTCAATCCATGGTTGGTGAATCCATGGATGCAGAACCCACAGATAATGGAGAGCCAACTGTGTTTTGAACTAATAGATTAGTTCCATCTAGAAATTTTTGTACACCTAGAAATTTTAAAGTCAAGAAAACCTACAGAAACTCTCCCCTTACATCTTAGAGAAAACATTCACCAGGCAGAAATTCCCTCTATCCTTATATCTGCAAATTTATCCGTTTCACTATTCATTCTCCTCCCAAAGGATGACAGCCCTGCTCTTATCAAAGCCGATCCTTCCATGTACCCTCATGTCTCCTCATTCCATCAACTCCCATTCTCTACTCTGATCCCTGTCCCTCATTTATTTGCTTAAATATCTCCTATTTAAAAAAATGTAAAGAATTACACACCTTCCTCTTCAACTCTTTGTCTTCTAGCTCTAGAGCACTCCTTCCTGAAAGTGAAGTCATTTGAGGGTCTAATCTACACTCATTTTACTGTCTCACTTTCTCCAATTTACTTTTCAACCCTCTGCAGTCTGACTTCTCTTACCATTTCACTAAATCTGCTCTTATTGATGTCTCCAATGACTTTTTAGTTACCATCTATAATAATAAAAGCATAATATGCTAATTAGACCAGACATCCTTCCGGACGACCAGGATCGAGGCAGCCGCTGCAGCTGCAAAGGCCTGCTCTTGCATGAATTTTGTGCATCGGGCCTCTAGTCTATAATAAATGCTTGATCTTGCTCAAAATGCAGGAATACTTTTAGTCCTGACCTTGCTTACCCACTCTGAATAGCCTTAGACACAGCTGAATTTTTCTTTCTTCTTGAAACTCCCGGACAACCTTGTCTTCTTTGAAAACACCCTGTTGGTACTCCTCCTGGCACTCTGTTTCTTCTCAGTTTTCACTGTTTCTTTGTCCTCCTGCTAATGTCCCTGCTTCCAGGGTTTGTTCTGAAGCCAGATTTCCTCTCAGTCTGTGTTCTCCCTGGACAGTCTCACTACTTGAACGACCTTCTTTAATATCATGATTGAGTGGTTATTGCTCTGACACAAACCACTCTCCTGTGCTTTAGACCCATAATTCCACTTGCCTGCTGAGGATCTCCACCTGGATGCCCCATACACTCGTCAAACCAATGTGTCCAGGTTGGAATCATTCTCCCCCGCCCAAATTGCTCCTCTCCTTTAATTTCCTATCTAGGTTAAAGTTACCAGTGGCTACCAAACTTCGGGTGTATTCTAAAATTTTTACTCTTCCTCATCCCTACAGCCTCATCAAATGTCAACGTTTTGCTGTTTTGGTATCCTAAACATTTCTTTGTTCAAAATTTCTGTTCTCTATCTGTGGTTGTACACAGAGTAATGTTTGTAAAGTGCACTTCTAATTACACAATTACCTTATATAAAATCTCTCTAAGTGACTTCCTGCTTTCTCAGATGAAGTTCTATCTCCTTGGAATTGTGTAGGAGGTCATAATCCAGTCCTGCATAGTCTCATCTCCTGTAACTTTCCCCAAAATCACATGGTTGTTTTCATTTCCTGAATACCTCATGCTGTTTCATGCGTCCATGACTCATTTTCTGCCTACTGGATTCCCTCCTTCTTTTAAGGTGCTTACCCTTGCAATCCTTTTTAAATTTCTAAGACAAGTTAATCACTTGTTCCTCCATAGTCCCATCAATCTTTTACATGGCTCTACACTAACATTTATCACATTGTTTATGTAAACATCCAACTCCTCAAATGGGCCCATCTTAATACAAGAGACCACATCTTGATTTTTTCAAGCACATTACTCAATTCCTGACAATGTATTGAATACATGTATGACATCATTTTCATCTTTAAAGTGTCTTACATTGAATGTAACTTCAGATTTTAGAAATAAATAGCATCACTTTCCTTCAGTTCTTTGTAGAATTTTACTTTAACCAAGTTGCATTTTAATAACTTGCTGTGTGATTTTTGAAGGCATCTTTATAAAAATTGCCTTGTGACAATGACGTCTGTATTGTTATTAAGCCTTCTTTAAGAACATCAACTGTAGTGGAGCCCTGGGTCTCCTAGTTAACTAGTTATTGGTATTTGGGATTGCAATGAGATTTCTCCTTCCCACCTAAAGTACATAGAATTGCATGGGAATGAAGGGAATGGATCAGAGCTGAGTTAGGTCAAGTCACCTTAAAAGTTTAGGCTGTATATTATCCAGACCTTAGTAAATTTAAAAATACACTGTGTTGTATTTCTCTACACCCAGAGAGCTATAGCGGTTTTTTTCTTCTTAAGAATATAGGTAGAATTTTTGTGTTTCTTTTATTCAAAATTAGATATTACTCTGAGTAATGTAACACAATGAAAAGTATTACTTTTTTTTATTTCCTTGAACATCATCTTCTGAATTAGTATTTGAGAAACTTTGCATTGTTATCTTTGAAGCTAGTTTAATGATAATTGGCAATGGAGATTTCTTTGGGTTTTAGTGTGCTACTGCATTTATGCTTTGCTTCAGTACTCTGCAAAATCTGTGCTATTCTCATGAGGGTTTGTGATTCAGTATCATTCAGGTATTTTGAGGTTTTGATGTGATATACATATAGTTATCCTTAAAATTCTTATAAATTAATACAAAATAGTTACAATCTCCATAGTGTTGGATTAGGTATTTTAGTATACTATAATATGTGTGTGCTATAATAGTTATCAACAAAACCAAAATGTTCTAAATTTATGTTTGGGTTTATTAGATGTGAAGACATGGTAGATGTGCGAAGGTTAAAGATGCTTCAAATGGTGCAGCTGTTTAAATGTGAAGAAGATGCTGCCCAGGTAAGGATCAGTTGGCACATTATTTAGTTTTTTTTCTTAGGAGATTGATTTCATCTAACTATACACAACTTTTTTATGGTCCTAAGAAGGTAACATGAGGTCAGATTCTAGTTTAAACTGTTGAAATAATACAGTTTTGTATTCCCAGTTATCTTACTTGGTCTTATTTGATTTACCTTCTTAATGAAATCCTCTATTGAGCTAGAAATTGGGACTAGGTATTATTTATTATTCATCTGTTATCAGTTATATCCCAGGATAAAGGCTGGATAACACACTGCTTTTTAACTACAAGAGGGTTTTTCAACTAGGTAAACAGTTTGCTATCTTTTAGTATTTAGCATCAGAGTGCATCATTTCAGCTTGGTGTAGAGGAAATTTGTGATTTTAAATGGTAACATAAAATCATAATATAAAGAGATTTCAATAAGGTCTATATGTATGTAATCTATTACAAATCATGTGATAATAATTTTAAAAGAGTGCTTCCCTTTAATAGGCATTGTCTTTAGATTTTTAAAAATATTGAATAGGAGGCAAGGTCATTAATTCATGTAGTTTGTCATTGAAAGAACTAAGCTATTAGGAACTTAGGTTATAACTAATAGATTAATCAATCACATGATATGATTTTTCTTATAAATATGATATTTCGATATAATAAGTAAAGACTTATGAATCCAGCTTCACTGTTCTTTCTTTTCATTTAGGCAGTAGAATGGCTAAGTGAACTTCTGGATGCTCTGCTTAAGACCCACATCAGATTGGGCGATGATGCCCAGGAAACGAAAGTTTTACTGGAAAAGCATAGAAAATTTGTTGATGTCGCACAGGTGCAGAACTGGTTATCTTCCTTTCCTACAAGCTCAGTGTTTGAATAGCTTTCTGCATGATTATAATGTAACTTAACCCTCCAAGTCCCAGAAGGTTAGTTATGTTATTCCAGAAATATCACAGAACTAAGAAAATGTCAGCTGGTGCATCCAAACTTGTGAGGGTTTATGTTTCCCTGAATACAGGTTCTGTATGCCTTCTGTGATTTATGTTATATATTATAGGATTTTTTGGGCAGTCCAACTGTTCCTTCATGAAAGTTAATACAAAATATATGTTAATGCTTTATCTCACCAGCATTAACATTACAACACAGATTTTTGTTGTTGTTGTTGTCAAATGTGTCTTAATTAATTTCCCTAATAGTTGAGTTTACCGTGTAACAGTTGTGGTTTCCTCTGTGGAATACAAAGTGCCTGTTTTTACACTTGTCTCGATTAAATACTGAACAGACATTCTTTTTGGCCTGTGGAATTGAGCTGACTGAGATGGGGAAAACGGAATAAGAAAGAAACTTACTGAAAATGAACTAAAAGTATTGCTTCCCCTGCATTATTTATGCATGCCGATAATTTGTAGTAAGTGCCAGTGGAGTCATTCAGTACTGATTTCCAGGAGTGTCACTTAATGGTAACCACAGTCCTCCTGCATGGTCCCATCCCTCTTTTCAGAATTCTTTTATTATAATTCCATGTTTACTTTTTTTTAGAGCACTTATGACTATGGAAGACAGTTGCTACAGGCCACCGTTGTGTTGTGCCAATCTTTGCGCTGCACTTCTCGGTCATCTGGGGATACACTTCCTCGACTGAACAGAGTATGGAAGCAATTTACGATAGCATCTGAAGAGAGAGTACATAGGCTGGAAATGGCTATTGCATTCCACTCAAATACCGAAAAGGTTTGCTTTTTTAAAAATGTGGTCACAATAGTATTTATTGTGTATGTTTAAAATATGTTAATCTTAATGTAATATGTGCTTAGTCTGGTTTTAAAAAAATTGAAATTCTGTTATTTAAAGTTTGTTTAGATATATTATCTCAGAGAGTTGAAATCAAATTCTCTTAGTAATTGGTACCAGTGGTGGAGTATCATGGTTGGAGAAATTCAAAACCATTCAGTGGTCTTCTGTCTACAGTGTTACTCTTCTCACTGTACCTACTTCCCATAATGTGCTGTCCATTCTTTAGGAGGTCATGACTCCCATCTCATTCATATGCCAAGAAAGGAAACTTTGCTTTGGTACCTGCTATAAATTATCATAAATTATTCAAAAGGGTACTTTTTAATTTTTTAATGTTTAGAGTGTGTCCAACTAAAATGAGAATAAGGATAAAAATTAAAGCTTTTTTAGAATAACATTTTTATTGATTTCAGAGAGGAAGAGAAAAGAGAGAGAGAGAGAAAGAAACATTAGTGATGAGAGAGAATCATTGATCAGCTGCCTCATGCACACCCCCCACTGGGGACCAAGCCTGCAGCCCGGGAATGTGCTCTGACTAGGAATGGAACCGTGACCTCCTGGTTCTTAGCTCAACCACTTAGCCACACTGGCCAGGCAGAACATATTTTTATTTGTCATCTTTTAAAAAGTAATTCTAGAATTTATTATTTACTGCATTATTTAGTCTCAGAAACCAGAAATGAACATGCAGTGTTATTGGGCAGGTTTTCATAGAACTTTTTTCTTAACTCAGCACAGTGAAAATGTGTATCACCTGAGCTTTGCATTTCCATTCTGAAGAGGAACTTGATTATGTAGTTAGCTTTGTTTTGAACTCTTACAATGAAAGTTTATATATAGGGGATGTTTAGTACAATTTAAAATAGGAGAAATCAAAGTTTTAAATGTGATAGCCTTGTCTGTCGAACAAAAGAAATGTTTCCAGAAACCTCAGGAACTAAGCAGATTCTGTCTGTGTTATGAAGTACATTTGTTGGGAGATGTTCATAGTAAACTCTTTCTGACCTGATCACTGAACTCCACACACAGGGAAGTGTTAAAGGAGCCTAATGATAATGAATGAAAGTATGCAAAATGGCTTAACTTGCTTATCTACTGATTATTTTAATGAAAACTTTTTATTCGAGTATAATATTAACATAATATACAGATCATAAATCATTAATTTTAACAAGATGAGCACACCTGTCCAATCAGTGCACTGTTCAAACAACAGAATGCTACCAGCACCTCAGAGGCTCCCCACTCCTTTCTAGCCACGCTGCTTTTGCTGCCCCTCCCCCTCTCCAAGGTGACCACTGGCCCTATTCTAACACCACTGAAAACTTTTTAGGATGCTGTTTTTAAAGGAATCAGCAAAGGCATTTTAAAATCTAGACCACTTTAAGAAGTTGTATAAGAATATATATATATTCATATTAAATAACAAACTGTTTATTTTTCATTGGCTATAATAGAAAATTAACATTTCTACTTCTTCTACTTCATGGCCTTTATCATACTTATAATAAACTTGATTTAAGGTTATTTTGCTGTGCAAACCTATGGTGAAACCTTTTCCTTTTGACTGTGTTCTGTTTTATACCAGTAAGCGTAAATATAATAACTATAAGCAAATTGTACAGTATGATTGGAAAAATATTTAAATTAAGTCTAGAATTTTGGACTATAAATATGTTCTTTATGAGCTACAATGAAATAAACATAATTGGATTAAGTGAAGTATGTTGCAAAAATAAGTACTTTTTCTTTTTCCTTCCTCAAATTTTTCGAGGTTTTTTTTGGAGTTAAATTTAAACGGTAATAGTTAAGGAGAAACAAATAATATCTTTACAAGGGCTGTAGAACTTCCCTATATTTGAATTATAACCATAGCAGCTTACATCAGTTAACTCAGCAGATCAGTTTTTAAAATAACTATAAATGGTGTAATTAGGCCATCAAATCAGTTATGTGCTTGTACTTGGAGTATATGTTGTTTTGCATTTATATAATTTTTCATTTTTGAAGTCTGTAAAATCTGGAGGTCAAAATCTATATCTCATTTACATCCCAAGCACTAAGTAAACATATAATAAGTGTTCAATAAATTGTTACTTAATGAATGAAATAATACTTCTTAAGTACAATTCAAACTTACTTTCCAAATAGTTTTCTAGTATTTTTCCCCCCCAGGAATCACTGTTGATCTTTTTCATATTCCAGTTATGTTAGTAGGGATTATGTATCTCATTTTGTTTGAATTTTTTGAGGCAGTTTTGTCAAAAATAGATACATTTTTTACAACGGTGTACATGAAGATGCTAAAATAAAACAAGATATAAACACCTTCAATCTGCTAAATTGGTTTGAGATTTATTTCCTTTTTCTCTCTTGATGTTGCCCTTTTATTTGTTGCAGATTTTGCAAGACTGTCCAGAAGAGCCTGAAGCTATTAATGATGAGGAGCAATTTGATGAAATTGAAGCAGTTGGGAAATCACTTTTGGATAGATTAACTGTTCCTGTAGTTTATCCTGATGGGTATGGTGCATGTTCTTATAATTTTACTAGAGGCCCGGTGCACGAAATTCCTGCACTCACTAGGGGTGGGCTAAGCCCGGATTGCATGAGGGCACAGGTCAAGCTGAGGGACCCCGCCGGTGCACGATCATAGCCGGGGAGGGATACAGGAGGTTGGCCAGTCGAGGAGGGACAGCAGGAGGGCTCCAGGGCATGTCCAGCCCGTCTCGCTCAGTCCCGATCAGCCGGACCCCATCAGCAAGCTAACCTACCATTTGGAGTGTCTGCTCCCTGGTGATCAGTGCACGTCATAGTTAGCGGTTGAGTGACCTTAGCATATCATTAGCATATTACGATTTGATTGGTTGAATGGACTACCGGACACTTAGCATATTAGGCTTTTATTATATAAGATCTTTTAATCTGTGAGGTCTTTTTATCAGTGAATTCATTAAGAGGAAAACCTGTTTGTTTTAAAAGCCAAGTCAATTAGCTTTGGTCCACATTTTTAATTCCTACAATAAACTGATTTAAAATGAAACGAAATCTGAACTCGGCTCTTAGCAGCAGTAGCACTTGATACTTGCTGCCATCAAATGTGTTGCTTCTTCACAGCTTGTTGTAGAAGAAGGATCATTGACTAGGTTGACATCCTGGGTTCTAGCCTTGACTATGATGATAGGGACTAGGGTGACCTTGAGCATCATTCAGGGAAGGGGTAGGGACTAATGTTTAGTGAGCTCAGTATATGCCCGGCACCTAGTTAAACACTTCACCTTCATTACTTTGGCCAAACAGTGCCAGGCTAGTGTGATTATTTCTGATTTACAGATGAAGAAACTGAGGCTCGAAAAAATGGAATAAGGTGTTCAGGATTTCACAGCTTCTAAGTGGAATTAGGATGCAAAGTCAGATCTTTCTGGCTCCAAACCCATTCTCTTTTCACTGTGCTCTGTGCAGTACCTGATTCCATGTTTCTTTTCATTTCAAACAGTCGATGATAAAGATATGAAATAATCTCATGCAAATAAATGGGCCAGTAAATGAATCAGAAAGAGTTTTACCCTGAGCATTTAGACCTTCTCAGTGAAGATGATTTAGAGGTAATCGAGAGGATATTTCATTCAAACGATAGGGAAACCAGACCATTGAATACATCTATCCTTACATTTTAGTATAGTACAATGGTTAGGATTGTGGATTCTAACCAGTTGTCTTGGATTTAAATATCAGCACCACCACTTAGTTGCTGTGATACTTTGGGCACAGCCACTTAACCTTTCCTGTGCCTCAATTTTCTCATCTAGAAATAGGATTCATACCTCCTCAGATTATAGGTGCAGGGGAATCATATGAGGTAAATGTATATAAACTACTTAAAACAAATCTGACACATAGTGCAACTATTGCTGTGTCATGCATATCAAATGCTTATTTGGAATTGATACTGAAAAGATATTTTATTCTCTTGAACGAATATTATTCATCGTCTAATATAGAGATAATTACTAGTTGTACCTAAACTTGAACAGTCAGAGCCTATAGTCATGTTATACATCTGCAATGTATACAGGAGAATAAATCTTAAAATTGTAAGTTGAGCTAGTAACAGTATTAGTGTGCTGCTTCTGGTTGTTCCAGGCCAGAACACCCAGCCCTCCCCAACCCCTATGATTGCATTTCACAGCCAATTGTCTGCCAGTCTCCCTTCTACTCAGGTCAGCCTGGAAATATCTTTCCCTGGTGTTTTTTGCTTGAGCTTCTCCTCCTGTTCTACAAATAGTTTGTGTGTCATTTCCTCGTCCTTTTAAGATAAAATAAGTTAATTCTGTATTATTCAAATTTGATAACCACACCTTTAATAATTGGAATTTTTATTCCATTTCATACAATAATTTGTGTCATATAAAATCTGTTTGATGGTAAAATTATTCAGATTTGTCTTTTGTAACATTCTCTTGGGAAAATATTTAAAAAATGTTTTTTCTGGAGTCATTGCTTAAAGACCCAGGTTCAGATCTTAGTTTTTCCACTGTGTGATCTTAGTTAAGCCACTTAATTTTCTATACTTTCCTTTTCTGATCTAAAAAATGAAGAGCTTAAACAGATAATTTTCAAGAATTCTTCTACCTCTAAAAGATTCTGTGACTCTGAAAACAGAATCTTTGCAGGTAGGATAAAATTAAATGATTTTTCTATGTCGAAAATGATACCTTAACATTAAATGGATATTCATTTGGTAACTATATTAGAAGTGAGTGTAAATAGTCCTTAGCACTGAAGAACACAAACTTTGGATTTGTGTGTGCTATGGACCCCAAATTGAAAAACAAAAATATCAGTGTTTCATTGATATTTGCATAGCTTGGTTACATTATTGAGATTATCCTAAGTACACTTAATATGACATTTATACCACTAATATATTTGTCTTGACATTTTTTAATATATTTTATGCCATTTAAAAAATGTTCCTCCTACTGAATTACTACTCAAAGATAAACAGTATGATCTACAAATGAACTAATGGCTTATCACAGAGGTAATTTTTATGCTAATTTTTTGCTTCCTTTTGTATTTGCTGTGGTCAGTGGATCTGTATTAATGTGAATGGGGTTTTTCTCTTTGTTTTGATTTTTAGAACTGAACAGTATTTTGGGAGTCCAAGTGACATGGCTTCTACTGCAGAACACATCAGAGACAGGATGAAACTAGTTAGTCTCAAAAGACAGCAGCTGAGACATCCTGAAATGATGACAACAGAGAGCTAATGGCAACCAGCTTCCCACAGATCTGCGTTCACAATAATCCTGCATGTCATCGGCATACTGCAGCATTAGCCACAATACATTAAGATACATTTCACAGCCAAGATAAGCCTCATTTCTTCCCATTACACATTTCTCTCTACATGTTAACACCTTGCAACTACCAAGGCATAATTATTTAACATGCTTTGAGACCATAGACTCCAAGTATCTTAAAAGAAGGAACTATAAACATTGCACTGAAAACCTGCTTTAAAGCTTTACCTGACCTGTCAGTTTGTAGATGAACAACTGATAATAAGCTTTGAGTGGTGCTAATAAGAGTTTAGGAATTCTCTATATAAAAATAATTGCCCTTCCTCCCCAGGTGATGTAGTAAATTTAGACTATAGTAAAATGGTTATTAGTAAACAGTGGTGTCCTCAAAATTTTACTTTTTAATTTTTCTTCAAAATTGATTATTTTTATTGTGTCAGTATGAAGAAAACATTCAGATCTTTGATATATCATAGTCATTGAAAGACATTTTCCTATTTGTAATGATAATGTATTAAAAGTTGTTTGTGCTTAATAAAAGGCTTCTTTTAAACATCGTATTTAATTTGGTGGTTATATCCTATTTCCAAACATGAGTGCCTTATTAAAAAGGGCATTCTTAGGATTGTGAGGATGGTTTAATACTTGTTTTTTCAAGTTGGTTGCATGTGTTTTAGCCTGAAGATTCATATGTAAGCATGTGTATATAATAAATAAGCATGTTTTATCATGAAAAATTAATTGTAAAGAACAGTTTAGGTCTTTAAGAACTTACAAGTAATGGGAATACTGTTTCTAATTTTTCTCTATTTCAACTTGAAAAAATGTTATTCAAATTATTAACTACCCTGCAGATACTTTGTTTTGGAGGAGGAGGCTGGGGAAGAAGGCATACACAATTACTTAAGTGTAATCCTCTATATCAGAGTTATCTTTCTGGAACTAAAGTAGCAGTTGTTAAGTTTAATTTCTTATGCTAGGCTAGAAGCAAAATTCTGAAGTCTAATGAAAAACTGTGCAGCTCTTTTAGATACAAGATTTATAAAATGCTAGTGCTTTTAAGTTTATATGGTAAATACATATAATTTAATTTTTGTTGAAGAAAATGTTTTTTGAAAAAGATTAAAAATAATTTTTTAGTGCATAACATAAAATTATGCAAACAATTGTATGCTGTTTCCTTTTTGTCTTCAAAATGCTCATGTATCCTCCAGTGTAAAAAGTTCTCTCTGAGCCTGCTGGTTTCTCTAGCCTTTTTCACACTGCCAGACTTCTTGGAGAGATCCGTATCCATTACCCCACATCCTCATTGCTCAGTGCTTGGCACCTTGCAGTCTGCTTTACACAGCACTGCACTGAAACTGTTCTCAATGGGCCCCAATTAGTGAATTAAATGATTTTTTTTCAGCCTGCATTCTTATCCTCCTCTGTCTGCAACATTTACACCATTGAGCATCCTTTCCTGGACAGTGCCCCCACATACATCTTGAAGATAGTATCCTCTGCCATAACTGTGAATGCAGTCACATCACTCTTACCAGTATTTGAAATATATGTACAAATGTGCTCTCTCAGGTTCTGTCTTCAGAATGCTTCATAATCTCATCCCTAGGGTTTCTATTTTATCTCAATTTCCTGTTATACATCTGGCCCAAAATTCTAGATCTTTCAACTACCTACTTGACATTTTGCCCTAGATAAAGTTAGTTATAATATTTTTTACCTTTCTCTTCTTGGAGCAATTTTGGTTAAAGGTGCCACCTTTTTTTCTAGTCCAACATGCCAGAAAATCTGGGGGCAACATTCGAATGCCCCCTCTTGTCTTGTGCTGTCACTGCTTCTGAGAACACCCAGGAAGTTCTTTCTATATTTGATGATCCTCTCAGTCTTTTAGGGCTTGACTTCTATGAGCATAAACTTTTGTGATTCTTCACTGTAGTCTTCATGATGGTGCTAACCACATGCTACAATGGTTACATCTACTTGCGACATTATAAGCTCTTTTGAGAGAAGGAATCTTGCTCATGCATAATAGTTGCTCAGTTTCCCTGAATGTAAATATTTTTATAGGCATTAGTAATAATCCCTCCTGTTGTAGTTTGAGGTATGTTTCAAACATTTTCTAACAGTAGGACTGAGTTGTGAGTGGATCTATTCATAAGGAAGTCATTTGGTATTTTAGATATGTTGATATTAGTTAATTTAGATATTCGGTTACACCTAATATCTCTTTCTTCTGAATTTTGGAGTAGTTTGAATGTTTTTATTAAGACTTCTAGAAAAGGACTGGATTGTAAGTAATGAGACTTTCACTTCTACCATCAACTCACCTGCTTATCAAATGAGTTAATTTTTATATGCCTTAAGCTATCCTGACTACAACAAAAGTAAAGTAAGGCAGTATCTAGAAATGTTATTTGTAATTTGAGTATTTTAGATGAAGCTGAATGTGCTTGTAACATAATAAATATTGTTGCTCTTCATTTGTAAATTTGCTGCTTTCTATATGTCAATCTGTATATACACATACCGTTATGAATGAAAACACAACAATGCCCTAATGTGATTTTTTTCATAGTTCATTTAGAAGGAAGTAACTGCAGTCTTTGAAATCGCAAGCTTTTTGTATGTAATAAATTAGCATTGGCTGGCAAATGGAGAAAGAACCATCGTTTCTAATTGGTATATGCCACAACTTTCCATTACTTTAGCCCATCTCAGGGACTTATTGAAGTGTTAATTGGGCTAGTTTTAGTTTGGTTTGGTTTGATTTGGGGGATTTGTTTTTCCTTCTTACCATGTATTTATTTGCTCCTGTGTAAATTCAGTATTGGTAGTTTGGGCATTTATTTACGCATGTCTAGCCTAGCAGTGCTATAATGCAAAGATGATTAATTTCATCTCAGATAAAACTGGTTTTGTTCCCAGGCCTCATTGTTGATGACCTTATTCTGCTAGGGTGACATTGGTGACACGGGATGAAACTGTTCAGCCTGCCAGCTAGGATGTTGATTTTAGGTCTAGGATTCATTGCTGTGGAGAATACTGGATACATCTCTCACTTTATAGGCATTTAAATTGGCCAGTGTTTCCAAGTATTACCTAGGATTAATGTGTTTGTTGTTTGTCTCTTCACCTGACCAGTTGACATATGGTGTGCTATTTAGTTTGTTATTTATTTAGTGGCATACTGCTTCATATGAACATGACAATTTTATGGTAGTGCTGAGCAAACCATACTTTCTGATATAAGCCCATTGTAACCAATGGCATGATTGTGAGATTAGCCGAACCTATCTCACTATACAGTCTGCTTTTGGAGAAAATAAAGAGTTCTTGACTACATTTTAGTAAGTTCCTTGCCAGAGAGATTGGATAGATATTACTATGTACTATGGTTGTTAAAGTCCTCCATATCTTGAACCTATTAAAAAGGGTACAACCCTAGCCAGTTTTCTCAGTGGGTAGAGTGTTGGCCATCGGACAGAAGGGTCTCGGGTTCAGTTCCGGGTCAAGGGCATATACGGTTGCAGGCTGGATCCCTGGCTCCGGAGGCAACCAATCGATGTGTCTCTCTCACATCAATTTTTTTCTTTTCTCTCTCTCCCTCTCCTCCCACTCTCTAGACATCAGTGGAAAAATATCCTCAGGTGAGGATTAAAAACAAAAAACGGTACAGGAAATTAACATCAGTAAATATCATCGATGACAATATTAACATGATTGGGATACCTTTGCTTAAACCAGTGATTCTCAACCTTCTGGCTCTTTAAATACAGTTCCTCATGTTTGACCCAACCATAAAATTATTTTCTTTGCTACTTCATAACTGTAATGTTGCTACTGTTATGAATCGTAATGTAAATATCTGATATGCAGGATGGTCTTAGGCAATCCCTGTGAAAGGATCGTTCCACCCCCAAAGGGGTCATGACCCACAGGTTGAGAACCGCTGGCTTAAACCCTCCCCCAAAGGGAAATTTCTCTAGGATTAAAAAGGTGGGCTAAAACAAAGCTGAATACAGTTAACCTAATTAACAAGCTTACCAGTGTTAACTTTCAGTTCTAAAAATAAAAAGCTTCAGTTGGGAGTGGAAGTACTCTTCTGTAGGGTAACCAATACCTTGATAAGGCAAAATGAAGTACAGATTTAACATGACATTATTTGACTTCAGTATGTGCTACTGGAAAGTAGTTTTTGCTAATAAGTATAAATGATGGCAAGATCATTAAATGCTAAGTAATAGAGTGAATATAATGCAAAGAGTTAAGTTTGACTACTTGACTTAAAAATCTAGCTTTGCCATTTACTGACCTTGGTAAAAACCACTAAACTTCTTCCCTGTATCTGTAAATTACAGACATCATATCAAATAATATCAAGAGTGAAATGCAATCATGTTTAAAAAATATTTTGAAAGCTAAAATGTTATCCAAAATGGAAATTATTATTAGTATAATCATCCTTTCAGAATAGAAAATAGGGCATTCTTTAATTCTGCTTTTGCCTTAGATGACAAGCATGGGGTCATGTGGAAATAGCACATTGTTTATGCTCACTTCCCTAAGCTCTATTTCCCTGACATTCAGAATTGCTTACTGAAAATACTAAGGGTGGTTGAGCTTATGGTTAAATAACAAGACTTTTAAATCTGACAGATTAACTCTCTATGGCAGTGTGGTAGAGCAGCAAGAAGCAAGAAAAGTGAAGAGTGTCACCTGCTTTGAGGTTGACAGGACATGACACAATTCCATTAATAAATAAGTAGAGGAAAAGCATACCTGGAGTGGATCCTAATGACCCAGCACCAATCTATAGAAACAACCAGAGCACAGACCTGTTAATATATTTATATTTATAAAGTATCCCAATCATGAGGTAGAAAACATGACTTGAGACCACCCTTAGTTCTGTTAGGGTTAGAGAAGAGAAAGCTTGATAAGCTTTAGCAGTGATAAGAATAGAAAAAGGTGTAACAGAGATTGATAGAACTAAGGATCCTCTGTGAGAGCACAATAGGGGAATGATTAAGAATGAAGAAAGTTCACAGATACGATACTGTAACATGACTAATATTACATAATCAAGATGAGTTTTGTTAGAGGACTCTTACGGAGCAGTACATATGATACCTGTATATAATGATACAGGAATTTTTAGCAGATAACTAAAAATAGTTACCAACTTCGAGGTAAGAATAGTGTTGTTAGTGGATTTTTAGTCAGCCCTGTGAAAAACTTTCTGAAAAAGGGCTATTGAAGTCTGAATCCATTCTTAGTGAATCTGAAAGAGGCACCTTAGAAGTATTTACAAGTAAAATGCCATCTCTCTAGGGTGTCCCCCAATTGTCCCTCAGAGAGACAGGAGGATGATTCGGATGTCCTTTCACTCAGAACATAGAGGCCTGTTCACTAAGACCCAGGCTCACATCATGTTTTGGGTCTACATGTCTTTTCTGATAATTACCCTGGTTCTTTTTTAGTTCAGAAATCATGGTAAAAACAATTTCTAAGCTTGACTTTTCTCTTGAGAATGTTTCTTCATCTTAGTTCTTATGTTAGTCTACACAGTGAACAAATTTGCTTAGAATGTATGAAAATTTATATATATATATATTGTTTTTGAACCAGCATAGATTTGAGAACTCATTACTCACCTCACACTCTGGAATGTCCTTTCACAAGCTGTTAAGTTTCTAAATTGACACTGATTGGAAGAATTTGATGGTTATATTAACATGGGATCAATAATGAAAATTTTCAGCAGCATTTTTTGATAAGCTTGTACCCTGGATTTTTTCCCCAACAGTTTATTATAAAAAATTTTCAAACATAAAATAGTTAAAATTTTATAGTGTACTCACCATTCAGATGCTAGTTCGCATTAATTATGCTTGTATTGTCACATATCTGTCCATCCAATTCATCAGATCACCTTTTGATGCATTATAAATTTCAGACATCTATACACTTCATACTACTTCCACATACCACATCATTATTCAACATTTGCTTATGCTTTCTTATGT